TTGGAAATAACTCAATTGAAGTCTAAAAATATCTTGCAAAAGAAACACGGAAAGCGACTTTTTTAATGATAAAGAGAGCCTCAATAAATTTTTATCAAGGTATAATCTTGGATCTTCTAAAGGTTTTCAAATGGTGTCCTGGGGGAGAGAGACATACTTTTTACCTCATAATGGAAGGAATGGGTTCTAAATACAGCTTTAAGCCAATTTAACAGCTCTCCAAATGTTAAACTATGCTATTACCATACACTTAACTAATTTAGCAGTCCACTCTTCTTCAGTATAGACAGCAGTCAAATTTCTGTTGTACAAAAAGCAAACAGGAAAACCCATAACTGTGTCATGTATTATTTTACCTTTGGGAAGGAAAGTATTTTCTTTGAACTGAGTAAGCATTGATTAAACCTAACACATTTAATCGGACTAAAGTGAAAAATCTTCCCTGACTGTTACTTGGGCTTCACTTTTCTCATTCTTGTGAAGTTACTCTGTTCCCTTGTTTTCCACTGGCCGCTGACTCATATGGAAAAACAAGACAATTGTTGACACAGTCTGTCTTCAGTGATGCCTAAAGTTATGAATGTAATACAGGTAACTGCCTTTATCAGTATTCAAGTAATAGAAACCCTTGTTAAAAAAGACACAGTGAAAAAAAAAAATCATAACCTTTTTGTGCTTCAAAGAAATATTTTTAAAGTGCATTTTAACAATTTTCAGTCATATTAAAAAAATGCTATCTAAGATCAGGATAGGACAGTACGCTGGCTATTTTTATCTAACCTCTGGGAACAATTCCATGGACAGCAAACAGACATTTGGGTTGGTTGGTTTGTTTTGATTTTGTAACCCTGCTCTTTTCCAAGTAAACTGAAATGAAATGATAAAAAAGATGCAGAGGGCTAAACTTGTGCTGGAAGTCAGAACATCTAGTTGTGGAATAGTTTGTGTTTTTTTTCTAAACTACGCAGTGGGGATTGCAATTAAATGCTTCCATCCGAGATTTTTTTGCTGCTTCGAGTAGCTCTATAACCCAATTCAATACCGTTAAAAGAAATCTAACATTACCTGGCCAGTAAAAACTAAGATACCCAGGAGGCTTGTTCTCTAACTGAAATCTCAGTGGGATGATCAGCACCAAAAGACACTACAAAAATAAAACTGAGACAGTGTTTCCCAAATCTATGAATCTCGTCTTACAGCATGAAAAAGAATTGTCAAATCTGAGAACAGCCCAATTATAAAGGACTCTGCTCTGTGACTCTGAGGTCACTATACTCCATACAAGTGTAATAAAATGTAACTATTAATCTACATTAACAATGTGTCATCTTTTATTGCCAAATTTGTAAATCTAGAATGCCTTTTAGTTGATGAAACAACCTGGTATCATTTGAGAAAGGATAATTAAGTGGTCAGGGTGATTAGCCTAAACTTTGGGATTCATTTCCTTTCAACTGCACCAAGAACTACACGAGTCCTCAGATCTGTTGTTCTTTAGTTGCCTCACTTCATGTACCACAAGGGTGGGTATACAAGCTACATGGTCCTCATCTTCAGCTAGTGGGGCAAAGCGAGTCATGTGAGAACTACTTCTTCACAGAAGAGTACATACTCGCTCCAATTCCCTTGGATTCTCCCCGTTTACTGGTTGCACACTCTGCCCGTAAGCTGGTTTGTTTCTGTGAAGTCTCCGCAGAGAATGACTGACAGGGGTTAAACCGAGTACTCCCCAAGGTTGGTAGATACCAAAAGGAGAGTAACTTTATTTTTCAGTTTCACAAAGCATGTATTGTTCTCACTTCATTTTCCTCCAGCACACTGTTCACCCAAAATCATGCAATAGGGTAAACTTCAGTGGTTTGTTAATATATAAATGTTTTGGAAGCAGGATAGGTAAAGATAAACAACTTCTATTAATGAAATAAGATATAAATTAATCTTGATTTAAAGAGACTCTCATTATAACATTGAGTAAAACAATCCCACGAAGAGAAACTAATAATGTTATTACCTCCCAGTTCCCTCAGGATTGGCATGAGATGGTAAAAGACATTCAAATGGTCAACTGGCTGGGACTGTTAGATTAAATAACAGAGGTGTAAATCTTCGTGGGAAATTATATACTGGGGCAAATCAAAGAAAGGCTTTAACATTATTTAACGGTGCTACTGTGAGTGTATACATCCTGTAATGTACTACTGCAGTAACACATGTATATTGCACGTGACGATCAGCTCTATTCTTCAAATAAATATCTTCTTTAAAGGCAAAGAAAAAACTAAGCAAGAGCTCCACTTTTTTCATGAAGTTCTTAGAAATCTATGCAGGGCTTCATTTAGTTTTGTAGTTTTTCCCCCCCAAAAGTGACCTGCTTTTCAGTACAGTGAGAGTGATAAAATCATTAGGACTTTTCCTCTGTTCTTAAGTATTTTCATTTTTTAAAAATTTTGTTTTGCAAAGCAAATGTTAGCAGGTTTCCGGGGTGACATTTATTTGGTATTATATTTACATAATTATAAATATTTGTACAAGTTCCATCCATGATGATGGACTGGATGAGTAACTGGAGATAAAATTAGCTTAAATCAAAATCAATACAAAGGATAACAATGCCCACGCTCCTGGGAACCACATTCTGCTGATGATTTCATTTTGGTATTTGCCTCTGCATTCCACTCCTAAGTGTTACAAGGCAGAGATCAATGTCCCCTTCTGTGTTTTTGTAATATTTTGCACACTTTGGGTACTGCCAAAAATAAATTATAAATACTAATGCAACTAAATGGTCAGCCAAGGAGATCTGCTTAAAAGCAATTACTGCACCGTAGTCTTGTTAATGTTCAACTGCCAGTAAACAGGTTTCTTGGCAAATGTTTATGCTGTGAACTCTGATCATGCACTACTGAATTATTCACTTGGTGTACATCAGTGCACATTTGTAACCTAAGATTTGAAACTGAGGTTTTTACCTGTAAATCTCAGGTTTATTGCTACTCACTCTCTTCACCCAGGTATCCTTTTAGTTTCAATAGGATTAATGGAATTAAACCAACAGGACTCTCTTCCTAATACTTGAATTACATAGCTATGTGTGTGAATTACGGATTTAATAAAAGTCTTCAGAAGGGGAGTGAAAAGCTCGAAGTTACATTTGCTGTTTAATTTATTTCTGGTCAAAAAGCTGTCAGGCTAGTGAGTATTGTGCTACTACTAATAGACAAAGAGGGGGTTTGGTAATTGAAATAACCTTTTACTACTGACAGCCCAAGCACTGTCATTCATACCTGCTACTAACCTGAAAAAATAAACCAGGTCTTCAGTCTATTTCTTTGTTCCCTTTTGTTCAGTTAGGTAGCACATGCAAACTTGTATTACACTTGTTACAACATAGAAGAGCCAAGAGTTAGAAGACAAAGCTGACTTAAAGCCATAGTCTTCGTTTTCTACAGCAAAATGAAAACTAACCTGAATTGGTGCCTTCATTTGAAAACACGGCAAACAAATCACTGATGCTGTTTCATGTTTTCCTGACTGAAACAGACTAACTTGCAGACAGAGTCTCAATCTTCAAGACTAGCTTAAGAGATATATGGGGGCAAGTTGTAAGGAAGAGTATAGTGCTTGGTCTAATTCTACTTGTTTACTAAACAAACCTCAAAACTAAGGAAAGGGATCAATAATTCCTCAGTTCTCCATCTACTGTAAAAACACAATCATTCACTGACTGCATTGGAAGCAGGATTTATGTTAATTTTGCATCTTGCTCCAGTTTTAACATGAGTTACTATGTAAACTACTGATTTGAATCTGAGTAGCAGCGATACTGTTCTTAAATGCATGTGAATGTTTATCAGCATGGCTTAAATAATTTGGCACTAATCCTGCAAATAGTGGGAGGCTGAGCTTATCTGAGGGTCTGTGTTCAAGCATGCAGAACTGCAGGACTGTGACCTACAGATGTAAACTATAATATGTCACGACAAAGTCAAATGCTTGCTAGTATTCTGTATCTTAAGGACCATCTCACCAGGAGGAAAAGCAGTCATCAGGACTGAGTTTTAGCTTGGACTGTCTTCACAGCTTCTCCCGAGAGTGGAATACGGGGTTTGCTAATCACTAACAAATCTAGAGTTCAGACAATTGTCATTTTCGGTGTCTAGCTACTGCTGGACACCTATTGCCTGTTATCTTTGGATGTAGGAGAGCTGGGAATGTCCTGGAAAACTATCCAAAAATACTACTGAGTACTGCAGCTCAACCTGCCCTTCCATATAAAACATTGGAATTATGAAAGCTAGGCTAATTGAAAAATTTAAGGCCCTTTCACTCTTACAACTATAAAACTTGAAAACTAACCCCTTAGATTAGAAGCAAACAGGCTACAAAGCATAGGTAACTCCTCAATTATCTACCTCGTAGTTTAAAAAACCAGAAAGACCAGAGAATGGTTTAGTATTTTCTGTAGGAAGATGAATAGTATTGAAGTTAGGATCCATTAGCCCTTTCTTAAACCTTCCTGATTTTCATGATACTGGATATGTTGAATGGCTAGAAACTGGTGTAGCCCTAGTAGCAAACCAGTGCAGGTCCTTTTTGATCAAGATTTTCAAAAGCGACAAGTGACTTCACTTTAAGCGGGTGCTTTCTGAAAATGAGCTCCTTCAAAGTGTCAGGATTGCAAAAATCACTTGAACACCTTTGCTTTAACTGCAGAGTTAAAAATAATCCTGCTTCTGCTCCCTTTGCAAATCCATTTTTGTAAGGTGCTTGAGAGTGTAAACCCAGAGAGGACTGCTGCCATCAGTACTTCAACTGCCTCTACAACATATAATACAGAGCTGAATGTGAAAGACAACTATATGTAGTTGAATTATGAAATCTGTGTTACTTAACAATGTAGACTTTTGATCAACAGTGAAAGGTTATACTGCTGAGTGTGTTAAAGGAATT